CTTGGCATACTTTGGCATTTGCTCCAACATATCTACAAAAGGAATATTTATGTGTAAGCTTCTAACATATCCATGAACTTACCAAATTACTTGTCTAATCTTTGTTTCTGTAGTCTATGAGGATACGGAGAGAGGCTTCATCTTTCTTCCATCTTGGCTTTGTTCTCAAGCTCTGGTTTTGTGCCTAGGCATTGTGTTGAGGCATGTTCATTCTGGAATTTGTGCCTAGGCATTGTGTTGAGGCATTGTTCATTCTGGATTTTGTGCCTGGCATTGTTGAGGCATTGTTGGTTCTGTCCAATTTGGTGTCTTCAGCTTTTTCCTCAATTTCTTCAGCTTTTCTTGATTCTTTCAACTCCTTACCACTTCTCAATGAGGGCATTGAGTTGCTCCTTTGATTTTTCTCGGTATCACTTGGCAACATTCCTTGAACTTTTCCAGCAAAATATTGTGGATTTGCCCAATTTGATTCTCAAGGTTCCTAATAGAGGCTGATTGATTTTGAACCAGGACGTCAGTCTTCTCAAACCTCTTGCTTGTCTCTTCATGAACTTGGTCACACATTCTCTAAATTAATTTTGGCTCTTGAGGTTGAAAAATAGGAGCTTGTTTTTGCTCATTGTTTTTGCTCCTGAAAAGTTCGGGTGTTTCCTCCATGCTGGATTATATGTATTGCAATATGGATTCGTTCTGCTCCCTTGAAATTGTTGACATAATTTGCTTGTTGAGATGGAGAAATGGATTCCCTACTTGACAAGATTCCCTGCACAAAATTCACAAGTTAGAGAGAGTATCAATAGCATTTACCTTTAGGGCAACTTCTAATTGCTTTTGGATGGTTGAAAGTTTAGCAGCCAACGCGGTGTAGCCATCACTTTGTGCACTCCCCTACTTTCCTTGTTGATTTTCTCTCTGAAGGCCTCATGTAGTTATTGCTTGCCATCACTTCAATCAAATTATAGGTCCTCCGTGGTTTTGTTATTCAAGGCTCCCCTACTTGCAGCACTACCATGGCTTGTATATTTGGAATCAACCCATTGTAAAATGTTTGCACTTGTGACCATATTGGTAACCATGGTGAGACACCTCCGTAAGAGATCCTTATATCTCTCCCAAGCTTCGTAGAGTGACTCCATATCTTGCTGGAAAAAAATTGTGGTCACTCCTCATCTTGGCAGACTTGATCGGTGGAAAATACTGCGCAAGGAACACTTGAACTAACTCATTCCAATAGTGATGCTTCCGGAGTAGAGAAATTAACCAAGCCTTAGCTTTATCCCAAAGGAGAATGGAAAGCCTTAACCTAATTGCATCATCATATACCCCATTATGTCGAAATGTATTGCATAGCTCTAGAAAATTTGCGATATGCAAATTAGGATCATCGCTAGACAACCTTGCAAATTGAATTGAATGTTGTATCATCTGAATAATGTTTGGCTTTATCTCGAAGGTATTTGCTTGAATCGGTGGTCTTCTAATACTAGAAGCACATCCCTCAATTGTAGGTCTTGAGTAATCCTTAAGTGCCTTTTGAACTTCTTCTCCACCTGTATCTATCATTGAAACTAACTCCTCTGTACGTTCCAACACTAAAAATACAGAAATAAAAATTAAAGCACTAAAAACAAAAACAAAAAACAAAAAAATAATTACAAACCAAATTGGCAACTAAAAGCTAGTATTGATATTGATAAATAAAAGCAATTCCCCGGCAATGGTGCCAAACTTGTTGTCAATTTTCGCAAGTGTACGAAATCGTGCAAGTAGTAAAGTGTAAGAATACGGATCTCGAACCCAAGGGAATTACTAATACCAAGTACCACACTAACCTATCTTTGCTATTTATTAATTAGATTTTCAGAATGATTCAACGAAAATAAAACAACTTAGAGATAAATAAAAACAGACTTTTATTAATACTTTGGTAGGAAATCAATACAACTAAACCTAGGGCATAGATTTCACACCAATTTAATCCTATGCATTAACAATTATCGTTGACCCAATTAAGTTTATTCAATCCCTAATATTTCGCTAACTTTCTCTCGAACAATTAACAAATTAACTCCTAATTACTAACCCGAATTATCTCTAATCAGATTTAAGCAATTGGAGATCATTAAGTTCTATGGAATTTACCAGAGCCTCACAGATCACGGTAACCTATCTCTAGCATTCGCCAATCTATGGTTTTATTACCTTAGACTAATTAGTTTTCATCTCTCGATCTCAACCTAACCCATAAAATCATTCAACTCTAGGGCCCTTAAGAATTGAAAGCTTTAAGTGCAATAATAAAACTTAAAACAAAACTTAATAAAAATTAACAACAAATAATTCAATGCATATTCATAAAATTGGGCTACATCTTAGCCCTAGAAAATAAAATTAGTTCAACTTTCAATAATAAAAACCATTGTATTCATAAACATGAGTATAAGAAAGAGTAGAAAAACTTCTCTAATTAATGACTCAAAATTGCAGAAATTTCCAATCTCCAAAGAGCAGCTGAACTTCTCCCCCTTTCTCTCCTCAAAAAAATCAGCTAAAGACATCTATTTTATCTCCTAGGGTTTTAGGGTTATGATTCCCACTATCCTAATCACTTTAGAACTCTTAAACCAGAAAATACACGTCATAAATTTAATCTAAAAAAACCCAGATTCGCAGTTGTGCCATGGCACTGTGCCTAGGCATAGTTGATCTGCACCAAACACGAAATCTTGACAAGATGGTGGTTTTTGAGCATGATAACGTTTGAATATTGCCAAGTGGTAAACATATAATTGTAGCCTTTTGAATCATCTTTCCAACGGTTCAAGAACTCATCTCAATAAAAATCTACAGCTCAAGTTATTGTCGAATTACTGTCGCATGTTCAAAACTGGCGTTTTCCAGGATTTTCACTTTAACTTCAAATCGCCCTAACTTCTTCATTTCAACTCCAAATCACGAACCATTTGATTCTTGTTGTCTCACATTCCATCATCGATATAAACTTCATCTGAATATCATCTTTAAGAACCTGAAAACACTCGAAACAACCCATGATCCCATAAAGACATTTATGAAATAATTAAGTTAAATTTCACAAATTAAACACATTTTCCCACAATAATCTAATTGAATCACTAACAATATATTATTTTCAGCTTTTATCAATTACGCCCAAGTTTGTGTGGAATTGATGCATCCAAGCCTATTATGCACCAATTTATGCTTGAGTATCATCGAAACTCATGCGATTTGAAATTGATTATGAATGGAAACCGAAGTGTTGTCCTAAATGCTGCAAGTTTGGACACGTTTGCCACCCACCAAAGGAGGCACCAAACCTCCTAAGGCACCTGAGGAGGCTCCACCGAGTGTTCCTCACCCGTCTCCTCTCGGGCCCTAGAGAACCCCCTCCCTTCGTCGTGAGCACTAACTCCCCAAACACCCTTCGCCAAAACTTCTTTGGCTTTTAATCCGAGGAAGTCCTTCTAGGTGGCGCTCTAATTGTTGAAGATCATGAACCTTTGCCTTTCAATGCCCTTAAAAGGGGGCCGAGCAACCAGCCGAGCATGATCTTCTATGGATGGTCGGGAAGGTTGCTAGCCATGGTGTTTGTTGCACCTCCAACACGAACACTGAAATGTTTGGAAAGGACTTCCACCCTGACATGAAGTGGCCCATGCTCCAGTCCTAGCTCTCTAGACCTCCAAATCCAGCAGCATCCAAGGGTAAAAAGAGTAAGAAGAAAGGGTGGAGATCTTAGTCTCTTTCCTTTCTTTTGTTGAGCCTGTGTGCCCCTTTAGGCGTATGTGCCTTATATGAGCCTTGGGTTTGAGCCTGCGTGCTCTTTTTTTATTTTTTTCCGTTTGTGCCTGTCTACTTTTGTTTTCAAGCCTTTGTGCTCCTTCAGGCGATTGTGTCGTGTTTGAGCCCGTGTGCTCTCGTGTTTGGGCCTTTGTGCCTCTGTTGTCTTTGTTGTGTTCTATGGCCTTTAAGCCAATCGTGTTACCTTGTAACCCTTTTCTTTTTGGATTAATATACATACTTACCTAAAGGAAAAAAAAAAAAAAAAAAAAAATCATACGACATGACGTATCTAACTAAGCTATGAATTTGACTAAGTAATTTTAGTTAACGAATTACATTGTTTTTTTTTCTTGAGTAACTAATTTGAGTAACTTATAAGACGTCTGATCTCCAAGTCCAAATTATTAATACAATTTTCGCTAGGACATGACCCATTTGATAAAGTCTTATTGGTAGTCTTAAGAGGTGTACCCATTTGTGTCTATATATATATTTGTATTAAAGTAACACAATATTAACATAACGTATACACGACATAAATTAAATTTTTTATGGAACTTAATAAATGTTAGTAAACGATGCATTAACCGTACATGTTTACTAATTTGTATAAGAGCTTAGCATGAACATGCACATTACAAAACTAAATGCATAACACAACATGACCGATTCCAGTAATTTGTATAAGAGCTTCAATATTTGAAGTCTACGTAATTTTGGTTTACTAATTAGGTTGTTATTATTTTCATAATAATAAATATTTGAATCTGATTCTCATGCTCAATAATATTTTAGGTTTATCTTTATCTCATGGATTCAATAAGATTTGATTTTATCCAGTTTCTTAACTGTGCATGTTTTTCTTATTTTGGATTAATTCTTAGTTTGTCCATTGTAATATATTTTTATTATCTTTCTATTAAGAGTAAATCATTTGATATATAATATTAACTAAATTCTAGAGATATTCTGAAACAACTTTGCTTTCCTATAAACTTACATTAATACCCATCTCCTCTACTCTATAAATACCAACACTCACTTACGTTTACACTCATATTCTCCTGTGGTACGTTTTCATTTTTGTTCATTATATTACAATAATTTGTTTCTTTATTATATTTGTTAAACTTCTGCATTTGATTTCATTTTTTTCTCTATTTCTTTTGCAGAAACAAAGAATTATCGAACTAAAGATGCTGAGAAAAACACTCCCCGTACTGGGACTTCTCTTCTTATGCTACTTGATCTTCACAGTTGAAGCAAGAGCACATGCAAAATCAAAAGCAAAACACATGATATACAAAGATGAAACGCAGCCCATAAATGACAGAATAAGAGATCTCATGAACAAAATGACTCTTGCAGAAAAGATTGGTCAGATGGTGCAATTAGACCGCACTTCTGCCACTCGTGATATCATGAGGGACTATTCAATTGGCAGTTTACTAAGCGGCGGAGGAAGTGTGCCAATGCCTCAGGCCATAGCGGAGGAATGGATTAACATGGTTAATGACTTCCAGAACGGTTCACTCTCAAGCCGTCTTGGAATTCCTATGATTTATGGGATTGATGCTGTTCATGGTCACAACAATGTTTATAAGGCCACTGTATTTCCACACAACGTTGCCCTCGGTGCTACAAGGTAATTAGCGGATTCATTTTATTTTACTTAATAAGCTTTAATGGTGATTAATGAAATGGAACATTTAATTGACTTGACATTAAAATCTTATTTGATTTCGCTGTGACAGGTTGAACCGAAGTGCTTAAGTAACAGTAATAGTGTTAATTGAACAACTAATCAAAAGGAAAATAAATTTTGCAGCGTTATAAGAAAATATTCCTTTATAAATTTCGAGATTTAAAATACAAATGTTTAATATAATCCACTTCCTTATTCAGGGATCCTGACCTCGTTAAGAGGATTGGCGCAGCTACTGCTCTTGAAGTTAGAGCCACTGGGATCAATTATGTTTTTGCTCCCTGCATTGCGGTATGTATGCAAACATTCAATTTTGAAAATTCTCCATGAAAGTTCTGAATTTAATCTGAGTAAATGTTGAATCTTTTGATGTACGATAGGTTTGCCGAGATCCCAGATGGGGTAGGTGTTTCGAAAGCTACAGTGAGGATCCTAGTGTTGTTGAACAAATGACAGATATCATTCCTGGCTTGCAAGGAGATCTTCCTGCAGATTCACCAAAGGGTGTTCCTTATGTTGCTGGCACGTAAGTTATCTTCAGAATTTAAGAATATGGTTTTAAAAAAATTAAAACCATTAAGTTATGTTGCATATTTTAATTATGTTTTTGACAATATGTATAAAAACACAGGAATAAGGTAGCTGCTTGTGCAAAACACTTTGTGGGTGACGGTGGAACGACAGGGGGCATAAATGAGAACAACACTGTAACTGACTGGAATGGATTGTTAAACATTCACATGAAAGGTTACATCCAGGCCGTCGCTAAGGGAGTTTCCACAATCATGGTTTCTTACTCAAGCTGGAATGGAGTCAAGATGCATGCCAACAGCGAACTCGTCACCGATTATCTCAAGAACACCCTCAACTTCAGTGTAATGCAGCCTTATTAGCATATAATTTAAAAAAAAATAATAATTAAATTTGAATTATTATTAATAATGTTGCTTGTTTTTCAGGGTTTTGTAATCTCTGATTGGCAGGGAATTGACAGAATCACCGATCCTCCCCATGCAAACTTTACATACTCAGTTTTGTCAGGAGTCAATGCTGGCATTGACATGGTCAGTTTTTTCCTCAAGTTTTAGTTTAAATTTGATTTTTCCTGACATTTGAATATTTCAAATTTTTTTTTTTCCAGTTCATGCTTCCCTTCAACCATTCTGAGTTCATAGATATTCTTACTGGTCTTATCAACGATAACTTTGTCCCCATGAGTCGCATTGATGATGCTGTGACCAGGATTTTGAGAGTTAAGTTCACCATGGGCCTATTTGAGAATCCTGTGGCCGATCAGAGCTTTGTACCTTATCTTGGAAGCCAAGTTAGTTTCTGAATATTACTGATAAAAAAACAAAAATTAATGTGTTGTTTCATGTTAATTTATAGAATCTTCTGTAAAATATATATATTAATAGGCTCATAGAGATTTGGCGAGGGAAGCTGTGAGGAAATCTCTAGTTCTGTTAAAGAACGGAGAGAATGCAGATGGTCCTCTGTTGCCTCTCCTAAAAAATGCACAGAAAATTTTAGTTTCCGGCACCCATGCTAATAATTTGGGCTATCAATGTGGTGGTTGGACTGTCACTTGGCAAGGACTCGGCGGCAATAACAACTCTGTCGGTATGTTCTTTATTCTGACAGAATAATATGATTACATTATCTTTGCTGATGGCAATTTGCTAAAAGGGTAATTTGACTCTTGATCTGAAAGCTTCAGTCAGTCGAAATCTTTTAAAATATCTGAAAATTGTGATATAGAGGGTAATTTATTAATATCCCAATTCTAAATTTATTTAACTTTGTAAAACACAGGAACCACAATTCTGAATGGTATCACAGCAGCAGTTGAACTTGGAACTGAAGTGGTCTACAGTGAGGATCCTGATATGGATTATGTCAAGTCAGAAAACTTTTCCTACGCCATTGTCGTGGTGGGAGAGCTTCCCTATGCGGAGACACAAGGTGACAGTACGAACCTGACAATGGCAGAGCCAGGGCCTTACACACTGACAAAGGTGTGTGCTTCAGTTAGGTGTGTTGTTGTGGTGGTATCAGGGCGACCTGTAACAATTGAGCCCTGGATGCACCAAATAGACGCTCTTGTTGCAGCATGGCTGCCGGGCACTGAAGGTCAGGGCGTTGCTGATGTTCTGTTTGGAGATTATGGATTCACTGGGAAGCTCCCTCGTACATGGTTCCGGACTACGGATCAGCTTCCCATGAATGTTGGTGATCCTAAATATGATCCAATTTTCCCATTTGGGTTTGGACTCACAACTGAGCCTGTTCACGCCAGTTAGAAATTTTATTTTGTTGGTGATTAGATTGGTCTTAAGGGAATTTAGAGTCTATCTTGTTTTTTTTTTTTTTTGTTTTCTTAAACTTTTTTATGTAATGTATTTTTCTAAGAATGAATGCAGGTAATATCAGAATTGTTCTCGGATAACATAACGACACTTGAAGTTCATGCATAATCACTTGCTAACAAATCAAAAAATCAACTGATAATATGAAGGTATAAAATTCTCCCATCACATAAATTATGTTATCATAATAATAATGAAAGAACAATTTTTTTTAGAGATGAAAACTGTTTAATAAGTTGGGATAAAAAGTTTTATTTCATGCAATTAATGCTTGTTATGTTTATATACGTACTGTGCCCTCTTCATAAGCTCTTGGGAGATATATCGAGTTCAAACGACTCCATACAAGAGAGAACACAAACACCTATCATCTATTGAATGACTGATCCTATTGCGTTTTCATCAACTGCATGGCCCTTGGGTTGATACAAGTCCTATTTTATCAGAAAAATCATTATAGATACAAAAACCAATTAGACTGAAAATGGAAAGGTTGGCCTGAAAATCATTTCTTTTGAGCTGAAAAATTCCATAATGATTATTTGATTGCTAGTACCTATATATAATAAATATTTCTCTTCTTTTTACTCCTAATTTTTTTAATTTTTATCAAGATAAGACATTTCATAAACTTGTGATTCACAATTCTCTTGGGAATGAGGATGTCAAAAGTGAACTGAAACGATTAATGTATAGGACGACTTGATTTGTCCTTGGGGATTTAGGATTTCAGAAATTTCCACACAGAACAAAGACTTTAAATGATGCAATTCATTATCGTTCTTCATTGAATTTATCACGGCGCGAATGGTGTCGGTATAGTTTGTGAGATACGTCGCAGTCTCGGCATCGTTCTTTTGCACCGCCGCTTGGATCTATTGCAACACAAACTAGTTTTTTTTTTTTTCTTTTTTTAAATAAATCAGCTGCGCCGTTCTGGCATTGGTTTTCATCCTGCATATAAGGACAGCCACTCTTGCGGTTGTGACCCTGTATATAAAGGCAAACTTTTGACGACAAGTAATGCGTTGGAAGTACGCGTTCTTCTAAAAAAATAAGACATTAAAATTTCAAAAAGCAAGCTGCTTTTTAGTTTCTGCAAGATCACCTTCTTGCTCTTCTTTTGCTTCTTTTCTCGATTTCGTGATGAACTCCCCTTTGATTCTCCTAAATTTTTTGTCGAGACTTGTAGATAATGTCAGGGTTAGAGTTTGGGCGAAATAGGGAAAAAATTGAATTGGTGAAGTGAGCCGTCTTGGTCTTCTTCTTTTCTTTAAAATTGAATGGGAAAAACCAAATCTGAAAGAAGGAAAATAAATAGCACTAAGACTAAGAAGATTCAGAATCCATGCCAGTAAAGATAACCATTTCGCTTGTGAGAGAGAAGTTTGGAAACAGAAAAACTGTTTTGGGGTTTGTTTATTTATAAAAAGAGAGGAAAAACAAAAGAAAGGGAAAGCTAAAAGAGCCGTGGTCTATACTTTATAGATAAATATATCAAAGAAAAACAAATACATAATCGTAGTAAGGAAAGAAAAACAGATGAGCAGGTTTGCCCGAGAGTTTATGGGGAAACATTCGAGAGAGAGGCATGGTTGGAATCGGTCTATTTTTTTTATTATTTTAAATGGTTTTTAAAATCTTGTTGGTCTTTTTATTTATTTATTTATTTCATTAATATTTAGCAGATTCAGTCAATGATCTTGCACACAATTTACTCCTAATGAGAAAAAAAAAAAAAAAAAAAAAACCATTTAGCGTATTGAGATATATCTATAATCCAATAAAAATACAATTCTAATGCTAGTAATATCATAATTCTAAATGAGTAATATTTCTAAGGGGTGTTTGTTGAGACTTATACAATTAATTATAAGCATTTGAAATTTTAAGCAATTATGTGTTTGGTTAAAGTACTTATAAGGACTGATAAGTAGTGACGGTGTTTGGTAAAATGGGGGATTATAAAATCCATTTATTTATAAAATGACTAAAAAGTGTACCATATATTAAACAAGAGTTACTATAAAATTTTAAAATTAAACAAGGATAATGTGGTAATATCTGGGTCAAAGTTAACTTTAAGCAAGAGTGTTTATAAGGGAAAAAAAAAAAAAAAAAAAGCACTCTTCCCCCCAACATTTTTTTTTTTTTTTTTTTTTTTTTTTTTTTGCTTATAAGCTTAATAAAAAGTTATAAACAAACAGGTCAACTTTTTAAAAACTTATAAGCTAATTTGACCAGTTATAAGCTTAAAAAACGCAATACTAACTCTAGAGTAAAAAACTGACTAAATTATAATATCAGAAAAAGACCCTACAATCAATATTGCTTAATGAATAACATGATCTTTTAGACCATACAGGTGGTTGTTCAATCACTCTTTGGAAAAATTAACATTATTTTAGATGTCAATGTACTAAAATTACACAGTATATGATCATAGAAATTAGAAACTTAGGGAAATTATGCAATTCAAGCTACCCTTGAGGGGGTGTTGATGTGGTTTAGTATACATCACTTATTAATTAGATGTGTTCATTTATAAGCTATGCAGCAGAACTTCGATTGAGTAATTGATTCAAACTTCAATTTTATGGGGGAGAGTGAGAATATATATGCATGTAAATGATGAAGATTATTGGTTGAAACATTCTAAAAAAATCAAATTACAATATTTATAGTTATGACAAATAAATAAATATTTTATATATTAAAGATAAACATTTTTTTTTTTTTTATAAGCATAAGTAATTTATTAATTAAATAGATATAAAAACCCTGAAAAAACATTAATTGAAAAGTTTGGGTCGTTAAATCAATTAATACAATAGCACCTAAAACTAAGTGAAAAAAAAAAAAATCTATATTACAAACTAAAAAGAGAGTATACAATCGTAACAAAATAAATTATATTTTGTTTGTATATATGCATTGAATTTTTGTTCTTAGCCTAAACCATAAGTAATTAATATTAAAAAAATGAATAACAAAGTCTCTAGTTTTAATTAATATATTACTTATTCAAATAATTTAATCATGAGTTTGGTAACTGAATGAACAATGTATATTTTAATCAGCAAAGAATTATATTTTCTTTTTATTTTGAGGAGGCCATGCAAAATTTAAAAAATTTGAAGGGCCAAATGATATAATTTGTGTTAAATATGGTGTATACTTCTCTTAGCCTTGACAGATTGTGTACCTACGGGATCATTCGAGGGTCTGCGCCCCGATGAGTGTGGTGGCCCACTCGCCGGTGAGCGGGCAGGGTGAGGGGTAGCTCTCTTCACAATAGCCAATGTTAATTGGGTTTATATGGGTTGGGTTTTCGGATAAGTCCAATGTAAGGTTCTATTATAAGAAAAATTGTTGAAGTGGGAAAAATCTGGAGGCAATTATAAGGAGGCGGCATTTTATTTTACTCCTCCTAAAGATTAAAATTAAAACTCTAAACTATTTTCAAGTATCTTTTCATTTTAAATATCTTTATACTTTTAAGGCGATTATATATTTACAATTAAAATCAAACTATCTTTCCTATTTAAAATATTTCCTACTTCAACCTAGGTACTATTAAAATTTATAGAAAATATTTATGAAATGCTACGTTAAATAAAGCAAATTATGTTTATTACTTAATAATTACTATTAAAATTTATTATATTATTATCAAAATCTTTAAGCTAAGCTTTGGTAAGTAAATATTGATTTGACAATTCTTAATATACTTCTTGTTAATTCATATGAAGTGATTCTTTTCCTCTTCTGAAAAAAATAAATATTTTGTCAAACCAAATCTCCACGGAAAAAGTATTATGACGTGTTTGCTTTATACCCTTCCGGCCAAATCCCAAAAACGGTTTATAAACTGTGTTTGCTGTATTGGATTACCTTGAACCGCCGAATTCACGTTGTGCTCTAGACTGAGGTTGACTTTGCACTTTGTAGGTGAAACATGTTTATTATATATATTTTGGTTAGTTGCGATAGTAACGGTTTGAAGTCCAAGTTGATCGGGAAGGGAAGAAGAAATCTGTCATTTTATTTTTTTCTTAAATTGAAGGAGATTGATGTTTGTGGGTGACTGGTTTGTTGTGTTTTAGCCACGGAACTGGTTTCGGCTACATCAAAGCACGATGCTGCCTAGTCACATTTTTCAGTTGTTCATTGTCTTGGAGAGCGAGGAAAATCCATTAGGGTATTCAACACCATGTTTACACTTGGAGAGAGCGGTTCATGGGTGATGATGCAGCCCCCACAAAGTATTGGAGACTGATGGAATTTTATCACACTCTTAATTTTCATATTGGTCGCTATAACTCGTTCCTCTGATGAAATTCATACTACATTCCTTCTTTTCTGGGATCTTTTGTGCCCTATCAAGGTAATGTAAGTTCATAATTTGCACCAATATTTTTTTTATTATCAGAAAGTATATTTTAGGTTGATATTTTTAATAAAATACTTCCATAGGTAGTTTTTTTTTTTTTTAAATTAAATAAAAATATAACATATATAGGTCTACAATAAAGAAGATTATTATTTTTTTGTATATTTAATAAGAAAAAAGGTTTCCTATAGCAACATTTATAACACTTTCAAAATAAAAACCCAAGGAGAGTGATGTTTTTAGTTTCGTCTTGATTTACCTTTTGATATAAGAATGTAATAAAGAAAAAATTATGTTTTATTAAAGCCTTTCTAGTAATTAAGTTAATATTAGTATGTTATTTTTTTTCTTCTCTCTCTCTCTCATCTCTCTCTCTCTCTCTCTCTCTCTCCTCTCTCTATATATATATATATATGATATATATCTTATGACATTTTTTTTTTTTTTTTTTTGCATAATGAAAAAAAGATCAAGAAGAGACATCAAAACATGGATGTTTCATATTTTTTCAATAAAATAGCCGTAGTAGACTATCTTAGCTTTATGTGTTAAATGTATATTAAGCGTATTAAAATATAATGTTGTTGACTTTATATATTTAATAAATTTTTCTTGATAATTTCATCTCAAGTTAAAAGTGATATATGGATTCATGTTTTGATATATGATAATGTTGTATGCTCCATTTGGGAAAAAAAAAAGGGTAATTATTTTATAATTTATTTATTAAATGTGAAATGTATATAAAATTGTCAGATCAAATTGATATAATAACTTTTGTTACTCTTTTAAATGTTTGACAAGATATTTTGTCACTTTTAATATTAACAAAAAAATTTATAAGGTCTCAAAATTTAATGACTTCAATTTTTGTCAATACACTTTCATGTTTTTGACAAAAATATTTTGTCGCTATTAACAAAAATGATAAATATAATTTATCACGATTTAATTTCCCATAATTTCTTTTTTTCACTTGATATTTTTTACGAAAAAAGATTCGTCACATTTTAGAAGCACAGACACGAATTTTTTATCTATTGAGATGTCAAAAATATTTTGCACGTTATTATTTGACAATAAAAAATCATCATGTAAAAATATTTGTATCAAAAATATTTGTCATGCTATTAAATTTTTTACACAAAATTATGATGTCACTATACAATTTTTGACAAATAATAATTGTCCTTAAACAAACATGTGACGAAATAAAATGTTGTCACAATATAAAGTCAATGAACAAATAAATTTATGTCATTATTAAAATTATGACCAAATAATTAGTCACCATTCACAATTTTGACAAAATCAATTTTGTCATAATATATGATTTTTTTCACTATAAAACTTATCATTTGGTCTTTAAATGTAATCAATTGTGACAAAATATTACTTGTAGTGATAAAAATTGTTTTTTTGTTACAAATAATTATCACAATAAACTAGTTTAAAGTGAAAATTGTGACAAATTATTATTGTCACAATAAATAATTAGGCTATGGTGACCAAACCGCTCTTCGTCACTATACACTTAAGAGTACGAGTAATGGACCAACCTGGTGGACAATATAATTCCTACATTTAAGAAATGGTCACAATTTTGATATTTTTAGTGACAAATTATTTTGTTGTGAGAAGCCTGAATTTTGTAGTGCAACTACCACGTTGGGATTGTAAGAGAAGGTTGTGAAATTGAGTTGTGGACGTAGTATTATTCAATAATTATACCATTATTTTAGACCCATTTAAATTTTTGACATCAAAAGATTTATTTCTTTAAATGGATTTTAGTCATACGGGCATAAACATACATATAAAAAAACCATATCAGTAACTTATGACATGACAATGGCAATTAAAAGTGGATTAATTTTTGAAAAAATAAAAATTCTCTCTTTTACTGTAGCACACGAAATCATGCTAGCCAGAAGCGGCTTACGTTAGCATTGCCCAACCCATCGGTTTTTTGGCCAATCTCGACCTTAAAATCTTTCTGAGACCATGTTGGACTCTCTCGACTCCTCTTCAAAACCTATACCCTCAATCTTTGTCATCTCTCACTTTCCAGCCACCTCCCTTGCTATATTGCAAAGTTGGGTTTCCTTCCCGTTTTCTGATCGACGGAGTAGAGTCACCAACCCCACTTGAACACTCAATAGACTCATCGTTGTTGTAGTTTGCATGGTTTATTTTTGGTTGTTGCTAACTTTTCATTCACTAGAAATTGGAGCTCAAAGTTGCGCCACCATTTGCTCAAAGAAAGGCCTAGTTAGTCTATTGCCCTGCTGCACCCTCGCGCCATACGCCTAGCGCGCTACAGCGGGCCAACCCTGCCCCTTCACCGTTTTCACCCGGAAAACCATCTCACTCTACCTCTGCCACAAACACCTTCCCTAACTGTAAGCAACAATCCCCCCTCATTTCCTAACCTCCTTTTGCCAAAAAAGCCCTAAAAATTAATGCCCCAAACTATCCGATAAAATGCCCTGAACCAACCAACCTCCACCCTCCACCTTTAATCACCCCCAAAACCAAAACCGTTCGACTACCCCCCTTGGGGAGGTCCTTCTCAACCCAACTCTTCATGGGCGACAAGCTACGTGTGACTAATCCAAGTCTACTTTACACTTCCCCACAAGCTCCACAATGTGGAAGGAGACAATATGAAAATCATGCTTCGGATGATTTGGTTAAGAAAGGCCTAGATCATGGTCAAATTGCTTGGTGGGATTCTTCCTGGGATGCAAAATTTGTTCCATGCTAACAAGTCCACACTTTAGCGGATGGGCCATGGATGTTTGGGGGAAAAACCGCCCTCCTTCAAAATTTGGGCTTGGAAGTCCCTGTCCGATTTCCAGATCACAAAGGTCCCGATTTGGATATGATTACACGTTTTCCCTTTAGCATATGGTCGCATGAGGGCTTGGAATATGTGTCTAGCATCGTAGGTCGCCGTTCATGCAATAAATCGACATATGAGTTTACCCGACATTTATTAAGCCCAAGTTTGTGTGGAGATTGATGCATCCAAGCCTATTTGCACCAATTTACGCTGGAGTATCATCGAAACTCAATGCAAGTTGAAACTGAGTATGAATGGAGACCAAAGTGTTGTCCTAAATGCTGCGAGTTTGGACACGTTTGCCACCCACCAAAGGAGGCACCAAAACCTCCTAAGGCACCTAGGAGGCTCACGAGTGTTCCTCAACGTCTCTCTCGGGGCCCTAGAACCCCCCCCCCCTTCCTCGGAGAGTACAACTCCCAAACACCCTTCGGCCAAAAACTTCTTTGGCTTTTAATCCGGAGGAAGTCCTTAGGCGGTGCTCTGAATGTTGACGATCACGAACCTTTGCCTTTCAATGCCCTTAAAAGGGGGTCAAAGCGATGATTCTTCTATGGATGGTCGGGAAGGTCGCTAGCCATGGTGTTTGTTGCCCACTGCAACACGAACGCTAAAGATGTGAAGAGGACTTCCACCACATGAAGTGGCCCATGCTCCAGTCCTAGCTCTCTAGACCTCCAAATCCAGCAGCATCCAAGGGTAAAAAGAGTATAGAAGAAAGGGTGGGATCTTAGTCTCTTTCCTTTCTTTTGTTGAGCCTGTGTGCCCTTTAGGCGGTATGTGCTTATATGGCCTGGGTTGAGCTGCGTGCTTTTTTATTTTTTTCCGTTGGTGCTGTCTACTTTGTTTTTCAAGCCTTTGTGCTCTTCAGGCGATTGTGTCGTGTTTGAGCCGTGTGCTCTCGTGTTGGGCCTTTGTGCCTCTGTTGTCTTTGTTGTGTTTATGGCCTTTAAGCCATCGTGTACCTTGTAACCCTTTTCTTTTTGGATAATATACATACTTACCAAGAAAAAAAAAAAAAAAAAAAAAAAACATCGACATGACGTATCTAACTAAGCTATGAATTTGACTAAGTAATTTTAGTTAACGAATTACATTGTTTTTTTTTTCTGAAACTATTGAGTAAATTATAAGACGTCTGATCTCCAAGTCCAATTAAATACAATTTTCGCTAGGACAGACCCATTTGATAAAGTCTTATTGAGTAGAGGTGTACCCATTTGTGTCTATATATATATTTGTATTGAAGTAACACAATATTAACATAACGTATACACGACATAAATAAATTTTTTAGGAACTTAATAAATGTTAGTAAACGATGCATTAACTACATGTTTACTAATTTGTAAGAGCTTAGCATGAACATGCACATTACAAAACTAAATGCCTAACACAACATGACCGATTCCAGTAATTTGATAAGAGCCTCAATATTTGAAGTCTACGTAATTTTGGTTTACTATTAGGTTGTTATTATTTTCATAAAAATAAATATTTGAATCTGATTCTCATGCTCAATATATTTTAGGTTTATCTTTATTCATGGATCCAATAAGATTTGATTTTATCCGTTTCTTAACTGTGCATGTTTTTCTTATTTGGATTAATTCTTAGTTTGTCCATGTAATATATTTTATTATCTTTCTATTAGAGTAAATCATTTGATATATAATATTAACTAAATTCTAGAGATATTCTGAAACAACTTTGCTTTCCTATAAACTTACATTAATACCCTCCTCTACTCTATAAATACAACACTCACTTACGTTTACCCTCATATTCTCCTGTGGTACGTTTTCATTTTTGTTCATTATATTACAATAATTTGTTTCTTTATATATTTGTTAAACTTCTCTATTGATTTCATTTTTTCTCTTTTCTTTTGCAGAAACAAGAATTATCGAACTAAAGATGCTGAGAAAAACACTCCCCGTACTGGGATCTCTCTTCTTATGCTACTTGATCTTCACAGTTGAAGCAAGAGCACATGCAAAATCAAAAGCAAAACACATGATATACAAAGATGAAACGCAGCCCATAAATGACAGAATAAGAGATTCATGAACAAAATGACTCTTGCAGAAAAGATTGGTCAGATGGTGCAATTAGACCGCACTTCTGCCACTCGTGATATCATGAGGGACTATTCAATTGGCAGTTTCTAAGCGGCGGAGGAAGTGTGCCAATGCCTCAGGCCAGCGGAGGAATGGATTAACATGGTTAATGACTTCCAGAACGGTTCCCTCTCAAGCCGTCTTGGAAATCCTATGATTTATGGGATTGATGCTGTTCATGGTCACAACAATGTTTATAAGGCCACTGTATTTCCACACAACGTTGCCCTCGGTGCTACAAGGTAATTAGCGGATCATTTTATTTTACTTAATAAGCTTTAATGGTGATTATGAAATGGAACATTTAAGACCTGACATTAATCTTATTTGATTTCGCTGTGACAGGTTGAACCGAAGTGCCTAAGTAACAGTAATAGTGTTAATTGAACAACTAATCAAAAGGAAAATAAATTTTGCAGCGGTAAGAAAATATTCCTTTATAAATTTCGAGATTTAAAATACAAATGTTTAATATAATCCACTTCCTTATTCAGGGATCCTGACCTCGTTAAGAGGATTGGCGCAGCTACTGCTCTTGAAGTTAGAGCCATGGGATCAATTATGTTTTTGCTCCCTGCATTGCGGTATGTATGCAAACATTCAATTTTGAAAATTCTCCATGGTAAATGTGTTGAATCTTTTGATGTACGATAGGTTGCCGAGATCCCAGATGGGGTAGGTGTCGAAAGCTACAGTGAGGATCCCAGTGTGTTGAACAAAGACAGATATCATTCCTGGCTTGCAAGGAGATCTTCCTGCGATTCCACAAGGTGTTCCATGTTGCGGCACGTAAGTTATCTTCAGAATTTAAAGATATGATTTTAAAAAATTAAAACCATTAAGTTATGTTGCTATTTTAATTATGTTTTGACCATATGTATAAAAACACGGAATAAGTAGCTGCTTGTGCAAAACACTTTGTGGGTGACGGTGGAACGACAGGGGGCATAAATGAGAACAACAACACGTAACTGACTGGAATGGATTGTTAAACAATCACATGAAAGGTTACATCCAGGCCGTCGCTAAGGGAGTTTCCACAATCATGGTTTCTTACTCAACGTGGAATGGAGTCAAGATGCATGCCAACGCGAACTCGTCACCGATTATCTCAAGAACACCCTCAACTTCAGTGTAATGCAGCCTTATTAGCATATAATTTAAAAAAAAAAATAATTAAATTTGAATTATTATTAAAATGTTGCTTGTTGACATCAAAGATGAAACTACAAAAATAAATTGATTCAGCCATGGTATATTCCAAAACTAAAGACAAAAGGGTTTCTTCAATCATAATGAGTCCCTAAAAAAGGACTTCTATAGAGTGAAGGTCCTTGGACAGGCCCAAGCAACCAAGCAAAACAAAACAAGAGTGAAGGTCCTTGGAGAGGCCCAAGCAACCAAGCAAAACAAAACAAGAGTGAAGGTCCTTGGAGAGGCCCAAGCAACCAAGCAAAACAAAACAACAGGAAAGGCACGGATTTACTATCCATAACAACCACCTAACTAGCCTCAAAAAGATCTATACAAAAAGACCAGCAGCAAAAAAATGCAGGACTTCTGGAAAACAGATCAACTGCTCCAGTTGTACAAAAACAACAGCCACCAAAAATACCCAGTACCACAAAAGCAATAAACCAGCATAACAGTCCAAACAAGCAACCGACTGAATTGATAAAAAGAGCCACCAAACCAGCATAGGCAATAGGCCAAGCACCCAACCAAAAGAGGACAGAAGCTCAACGCTAGATCAAACAAAAACCCATAATCTGTAGTTCTGCACTAACCAACCAGTAGAGCAACCCTTTGGGCAATTCCTCCAAAAAGAATGCGCAAACATAAGCCAGGGAAACCAACCCTCCATCAGCGTAAAAATAACACCCAACAAAAACCAAATAAGCACCTTTGTGGGACAGCACATAATCCAAACTAGAGCAAACTGAAGGCCAAGCATCAACAACAAAGGAGAATTAGGATTCGATTGCAGTTTTCAGCTCTGAATTTGCACCAACGTTGAGGCCCAAATGAACTTGAAATTTGACAAACCAAACCTTTCTGAAAAGCTTGAGATGTCTACTTTAACCTCACAGAGGGCCCTGAACTCAAACTGAAACTCTAAGTCGATCAAAAACCTGCAAACAGTCCAAAACATCCAAAAGAAAAAATGCTGGAAATTTCAGGCTTTAAGCATAATTCACTAACACATTACCACAAATGCCTTATACATAAAAATCAATATAATTCAGCACCATAAGATGTAAAACATGCCAAATAAACTAGATTTAAGGATAATAAAAAAAAATGTCCTGCAACAAACAATAATGTTTTTCAGTTAAAATTTTTTTTTTCCTGAATCATAAGATTCATATCTTTCAACTTCTAGCAAATTTGGTTGAGAACACAGCAAGGATATGGGTGATCTTTATTGCAAATGCTGTTACATTATGTAAAATTTAATAAATGCACAGGACAAAATTTCTTGTTGATACAGCCATCTAAAACAAATTAAAAGTAAAAGTAACATAATCCATAATTAAAAATCAAACAACCTAGGTCAGCAAGAATAATAAGATAAAGAACTTACTGGTTTCTAGCCCAAAGAACCCGAAATTCAAGATCTGNTTTTTTGCTTATAAGCTTAAAAAAAGTTATAAACAAACAGGTCAACTTAATTTTAAAACTTATAAGCTAATTTGACCAGCTTATAAGCTTAAACAAAGCAATACTAACTCTAGAGTAATAAAACTTGACTAAATTAATTAATATAAGAAAAAGACCGTACAATCAATATTTGCTTAATGAATAACATGATCTTTAGACCATACAAGTGGTTGTCTCATCCTCTTTGGAACACTTACATTATTTTAGATTGTCATGTACTAAAATTACACAGTATATGATCATAGAAAATTAGAAAATTAGGGTAAATTATGCAATTCAAGCTACCCTTGAGGTGGGTGTTTGATGTGGTTTAGTTAATACTCTACTTAATTTAATGTGTCATTTCTAATCTATTGCAGCAAGAACTTCGATTGAGTAATTGATTCAAACTTCTAATTTTATGGGGTGAGTGAGAATATATATGCATGTAAATGATGAAGATTTATTAGGTTGAAATTATATAAAAAAATCAATTACAATATTTATAGTTATGACAAATAATAATAAATATTTTATATATTAAAGATAAACATTTTTTTTTTTTATAAGCATAAGTAATTTATTAATTAAATAGATATAAAAACCTGAAAAAAACTTAATTGAAAAGTTTGGGTCGTTAAATCAATTAAATACAATAAGCACATATAAACTAAGTGAAAAAAAAAAAAATCTATATTACAAACTTAAAAAGAGAGTATACAATCGTAACAAAATAAAATTATATTTTGTTTGTTATATATGCATTGAATTTTGTTCTTAGCCTAACACTAAGTAATTAATATTAAAAAAAATGAATAACAAGCTCATCTAGTTTTATTAATTAATATTTACTTATTCAAATAATTTAATCATGAGTTTGGTTAACTGAATGAACAATTTATATTTTAATCAAGAGAATTATATTTTCTTTTATTTTGAGGAGGCCATGCAAAAATTTATAAAAATTATGAAGGGCCAAATGATATAATTTGTGTTAAATATGGTGTATACTTCTCTTAGCCTTGACAGATTGTGTACCTACGGTGACTCATTCGAGGGTCTTGCTCCCCGATGAGTGTGGTGGTCCCACTCGCCGGTGAGCGGGCAGGGGTGAGAGGGTAGCTCCTCCTTCACAATAAGCCCAATGTCTAATTGGGTTTATACTTGGGTTGGGTTTTCGGATAAGGGGGGGGGGGGGGGGGGGGGGGGGGGGGGGGGGTGGGTTGGGGTCCAATGTCTAATGTTCTATAAAATGAAAAATTGTTGAAGTGGGAAAAATCTGGAGGCAATTATAAGGAGGCGGCAATTTTATTTTAATTCCCTCCTAAGATGTAAAAATTAAAACTCTAAACTATTTTAAGTATCTTTTCTATTTTAAATATCTTTCATACTTTAAGCGATTATATATTTACAATTAAAATTCTAAAACTATCTTTCCTATTTAAAAAATTTCCTACTTCAACCTAGTACTATTAAAATTTATAGAAAATATTTATAGAATGCTACGTTAAATAAAGCAATTATGTTTATTAATAATAATTACTATTAAAATTTATTATATTATTATCAAAATCTTTAAGCTATGGTAAGTAATATATTGATTTGACAATTCTTAATATATTCTTGTTAATTTCATAATGAAGTGATTCTTTCCTTTCTGAAAAAAATAAATATTTTGTCAAACCAAATCTCCATCGGAAAAAGTATTAGACGTGTATGGCTTTATACCCTTCCGGCCAAATCTCCAAAAACGGTATTATAAACTGTGGTTTGCTGTATTGGATTACCTTGAACCGCCGAATTCACGTTGTGTCTAGGAACTGAGGTTGACTTTGCACTTTGTAGGGGTGTAAACTGTTTATTATTATTATTATTTTGGTTAGTTTGATAGTAACGTTTGAAGTCAAGTTGACGGGAAGGGAAGAAGAAACTGTCATTTTATTTTTTTCTTAAATTGAAGGCAGATTGATGTTTGTGGTGACTGGTTTGTTGTTGTTTAGCCCAGGAACTTGGTTTCGGCTACATCAAAGCACGATGCCTGCCTTACGTCACATTTTTCAGTTGTTCATTTGTCTTGGAGAGCGAGGAAAATTCATTAGGGTATTTCAACACCATGTTTAACTTGGAGAAGCGGTTCATGGGTGACTGATGCAGCCCACACAAAAGTATTGGAGACTTGATGGATATTTATCACACTCTTAAATTTTCATATTGGTCGCTATACTCTTGTTCTCTCTGATGAAATTCATAAACAATCTTCTCTTTCGGGATCTTTGTGCCCTATCAAGGTAAGTAAGTTCATAATTGCACAATATTTTTTTTTATTATCAGAAAGTATATTTTAGTTTTGATATTTTTAATAAAATACTATCCATAGGATTAGTTTTTTTTTTTAAATTAAATAAAAATATCATATATAGGTCTACATAAAGAAGATTATTATTTTTTTGTATATTTAATAAGAAAAAAGGTTTCCTATACGCAAACATTTATAACACTTTACAAAATAAAAACACCAAGGAGAGTGATGTTTTTAGTTTTCTCTTTATTACCTTTTGATATAAGAATGTAATAAAGAAAATTATGTTTTATTAAAAGCTTTTCTAGTGAATTAATGTAATATTAGTATTGTTATTTTTTTTCATTCTCTCTCTCTCTCTCTCTCTCTCTCTCTCTCTCTCTCTCTCTCTCTCTCTATATATATAATATATATATATATCTTATGACATTTTTTTTTTTTTTTTTTTTGCATAATGAAAAAATGATCAAGAAGAGACCATCAACACATGGATGCTTTCATATTTTTATCAATAAAATAGCCGTAGTAGACTATCTTAGTTTTATGTGTTAAATGTATATTAAGCGTATTAAAATTAATGTTGTTGACTTATATATTTAATAAATTTTTCTTTGAATAATTTCATCTCAAGTTAAAAGTGTATATGGATCATAGTTTGATAATGATAATAGTTGTATCTCCATTGTGGGGAAAAAAAAAAAGGGTAATTATTTATAATTTTTATTTATTAAATGTGAAATGTATATTAAATTGTCAGATCAAAATGATATAAACATAATTTTGTTACTCTTTTAAATTGTTGACAAGATATTTTGTCACTTTTAATATTAACAAAAAAAAATTATAAAGTCTCAAAATTTAGACTTCAATTTTTGTCACTACACTTTTCATGTTTGACAAAAATATTTTTGTCGCTATTAAACAAAATTGATAAATATAATTTATCACGATTTTAATTCTCCCATAATTTCTTTTTTTCACTTGAATATTTTTAGAAAAAAGATCGTCACATTTTAGAAGCACAGACACGAATTTTTTTATCATTATTGAGATGTCAAAAAATATTTGCACGCTTATATTATTTGACAATAAAAAATCTATCATGTAAAAATATTTGTATCAAAAATTATTTGTATGCTATTAAATTTTTTACAAAATTATTTATGTCACTATACAATTTTTGACAAATAAATGTCCTAAAACAAACATGTGACGAAATAAATGTGTCACAATAAAGTCAATGACAAATAAATTTAGTCATTATTAAAATTATGCCAAATAATTTAGTCACCATTCACAATTTTGAACAAAATCAATTTTGTCATAAATATATTTTTTTCACTATAAAACTTATCATTTGGTCTTTAAATGTAATCAATTGTGACAAAATATACTTGTAGTGATAAAAATTGTTTTTATTGTTACAAATAATTTATCACAATAAAAACTAGTTTAAAGTGACAAATTGTGACAAATTATTATTGTCACAATAAATAATTAGGCTATGGTGACCAAACGCTCTTCGCGTCACTATACCTTAAGAGTACGAGCTTAATGTGACCAAACTGGTGGACAATATAATTCCTCACATTAAGAAATGGTCACAATTTTGTATTTATAGTGACAAATTATTTTGTTGTGAGAAGCCTGAATTCTTGTAGTGCAACTACCACGTTGGGATTGTAAGAGAAGGTTGTGAAATTGAGTTGTGGACGTAGTATTATTCAATTAATTATACCATTATTTAGACCCATTTAAAATTTTCTGACATCAAAAGATTTATTTCTACTTTTAAATGGATTTTAGTCATAGGGCATAAACATAACATATAAAAAAACCATATCAGTAACTTATGACATGACAATGGCAATTAAAAGTGGTTAAATTTTTGAAAAAATAAAAATTCTCTCTTTTTACTGTAGCACACGACTCATGCTAGCCAGAAGCGGCTTACGTTAGCATTGCCCAACCCATCGGTTTTTTTGGCCAATCTCGACTCTAAAATCTCTTCTGAGACCACGTTGGACTCTCTCGACCTCTCTTCAAAACCTATACCCTCAATCTTTGTCTCTCTCACTTCCAGCCACCTCCTCTTGCCATTTGCAAAGTTGGGTTTCCTTCCGTCCTTTTCTGATCGACGGAGAGTCACCAACCCCACTTGAACACATCACTGACTCATCGTTCGTTGTAGTTTGCATTGGTTTATTTTTGGTTGTTGCTAACTTTTCATTCACTAGAAATTGTGAGCTCAAAGTTGCGCCCACCATTTGCTCAAAGAAAGGCCTAGTTAGTCTATTGCCCTGCTCGCACCCTCGCGCAACTACGCCTAGCGCGCCTACAGCGGGCCACCCTGCCCCTTCACCGTTTACCCGGAAAAACCATCTCCACTCTACCTCTTGCCACAAACACCTCCCTAACTGTAAGCCAAACAATCCCCCTCATTTCCTACCATTCCTTTTGCCTAAAAAGCCCTAAAAATTAATGCCCCAAACTATCCGATAAAATGGCCTGAACCAACCAAACCTCCACCCTCCACCTTTAATCACCCCCCAAAACCAAAACGTTCGACTACCCCCCCCTTGGGGAGGTCCTTCTCAACCCAACTCTTCATGGGCGACAAGCTACGTGTGACAATTCCAAGTCTACTTTCACACTTCCCCACAAGCTCCACAATGTGGAAGGAGACAATATGAAAATCATGCTTCCGGATGATTTGGTTAAGAAAGGCCTAGATCAATGGTCAAATTGCTTGGTGGGATTCTTCCTGGGATGCAAAATTTCGTTCCATGCTAACAAGTCCATCACTTTAGCGGATGGGCCATGGATGTTTGGGGGAAAACACGCCTCCTTCAAAATTTGGTGGCTTGGAAGTCCCTGTCCGATTTCCAGATCACAAAGGTCCCGATTTGGATATGATTACACGTTTTTCCCTTTAGCATATGGTCGATGAGGGCTTGGAATATGTGTCTAGCATCGTAGGTCGCCCGTATCATGCAATAAATCGACATATGAGTTTACCGACTTTATTACGCCCAAGTTTGTGTGGAGATTGATGCATCCAAGCCTATTTTGCACCAATTTACGCTTGGAGATCATCGAAACTCAATGCAAGTTGAAACTGAGTATGAATGGAGACCAAAGTGTTGTCCTAATGCTGCGAGTTTGGACACGTTGCCACCCACCAAAGGAGGCACCAAAACCTCTAAGGCACCTAAGGAGGCTCCACTGAGTGTTCCTCACCGTCTCTCTCGGGGCCCTAGAAAACCCCCCCCCCCTTTCCTCGATGAGTACTAACTCCCCAAACACCCTTCGGCCAAAAATTCTTGGCTTTTAATCCGGAGGAAGTCCTTCTAGGCGGTGCTCTGAATGTTGACGATCACGAACCTTTGCCTTTCAATGCCTTAAAAGGGGGTCGAGCGATGATTCTTCTATGGATGGTCGGGAAGGGTCGCTAGCCATGGTGTTTGTTGCCCACTGCAACAGAACGCTAAAGATGTTGAAGAGGAATCCACCCTGACATGAAGTGGCCCATGCTCCAGTCCTAGCTCTCTAGACTCCAAATCCAGCAGCATCAAGGGTAAAAAGAGTAAGAAGAAAGGGTGGAGATCTTAGTCTCTTTCCTTTCTTTGTTGAGCCTGTGTGCCCCTTTAGGCGTATGTGCCTTATATGAGCCTTGGTTTGAGCCTGCGTGCTCTTTTTTTTTTTTTTCCGTTTGTGGCTCGTCTACTTTTGTTTTCAACCTTTGTGCTCCTTCAGGCGATTGTGTCGTGTTTGAGCCCGTGTGCTCTGTGTTGGGCTTTGTGCCTCTGTTGTCTTTGTTGTGTTCTATGGCCTTTAAGCCATCGTGTACCTTGTAACCCTTTTCTTGGATTAATATACATACTTACCTAAAGGAAAAAAAAAAAAAAAAAAAAAAAATCATACGACATGACGTATCTAACTAAGCTATGAATTTGACTAAGTAATTTTAGTTAACGAATTACATTGTTTTTTTTCTTGAGTAACTAATTTGAGTAACTTATAAGACGTCTGATCTCCAAGTCCAATTATTAATACAATTTTCGCTAGGACATGACCCATTTGATAAAGTCTTATTGGTAGTCTTAAGAGGTGTACACCATTTGTGTCTATATATATATTTGTATTAAGTAACACAATATAACATAACGTATACACGACATAAATTAATTTTTTATGGAACTTAATAAATGTTAGTAAACGATGCATTAACTACATGTTTACAATTTGTATAAGAGCTTAGCATGAACATGCACATTACAAAACTAAATGCATAACACAACATGACCGATTCCAGTAATTGTATAAGAGCTTCAATATTTGAAGTCTACGTAATTTTGGTTTACTAATTAGGTTGTTATTATTTTCATAATAATAATATTTGAATCTGATTCTCATGCTCAATAATATTTAGGTTTATCTTTATCTCATGGATTCAATAAGATTGATTTTATCCAGTTTCTTAACGTGCATGTTTTTCTTATTTTGGATTAATCTTAGTTTGTCCATTGTAATATATTTTATTATCTTTCTATTAAGAGTAAATCATTTGATATAAATATAACTAAATTCTAGAGATATTCTGAAACAACTTTGCTTTCCTATAAACTTACATTAATACCCGTCTCTCTACTCTATAAATACCAACACTCACTTACGTTTACCCTCATATTCTCCTGTGGTACGTTTTCATTTTTGTTCATTTAATTACAATAATTTGTTTCTTTATTATATTTGTAAACTTCTCTATTTGATTTCATTTTTTTCTATTTCTTTTGCAGAAACACAAGAATTATCGAACTAAAGATGCTGAGAAAAAACACTCCCCGTACTGGGACTTCTCTTCTATGCTACTGATCTTCACAGTTGAAGCAAGAGCACATGCAAAATCAAAAGCAAAAACACATGATATACAAAGATGAAACGCAGCCCATAAATGACAGAATAAGAGATGTCATGAACAAATGACTCTTGCAGAAAAGATTGGTCAGATGGTGCAATTAGACCGCACTGCCACTGTGATATCATGAGGGACTATTCAATTGGCAGTTTACTAAGCGGCGGAGGAAGTGTGCCAATGCCTCAGGCCCAGCGGAGGAATGGATTAACATGGTTAATGACTTCCAGAACGGTTCACTCTCAAGCCCGTCTTGAATTCCATGATTTATGGGATTGATGCTGTTCATGGTCACAACATGTTTATAAGGCCATGTATTTCCACACAACGTTGCCCTCGGTGCTACAAGGTAATTAGCGGATTCATTTATTTTACTTAATAAGCTTTAATGGTGATTAATGAAATGGAACATTTATTGACTTGACATTAAAATCTTATTTGATTTCGCTGTGACAGGTTGAACCGAAGTGCCTAAGTAACAGTAATAGTGTTAATTGAACAACTAATCAAAAGGAAAATAAATTTTGCAGCGTTGTAAGAAATATTCCTTATAAATTTCGAGATTTTAAAATACAAATGTTTAATATAATCCTTCCTTATTCAGGGATCCTGACCTCGTTAAGAGGATGGCGCAGCTACTGCTCTTGAAGTTAGAGCCACTGGGATCAATTATGTTTTTGCTCCCTGCATTGCGGTATGTATGCAAACATTCAATTTTGAAAATTCTCCATGAGTAAATGTTGAATCTTTTGATGTACGATAGGTTTGCCGAGATCCCAGATGGGGTAGGTGTTTCGAAAGTACAGTGAGGATCCCAGTGTTGTTGAACAAATGACAGATATCATTCCTGGTTGCAAGGAGATCTTCCTGCCGATTCACCAAAGGGTGTTTCCTTTGTTGCTGGCACGTAAGTTATCTCAGAAATTAAGAATATGATTTTAAAAAATTAAAACCATTAAGTTATGTTGCATATTTTAATTATGTTTTGACAATATGTATAAAAACACGGAATAAGGTAGCTGCTTGTGCAAAACACTTTGTGGGTGACGGTGGAACGCAGGGGGCATAAATGAGAACAACACAGTAACTGACTGGAATGGATTGTTAAACATTCACAATGAAAGGTTACATCCAGGCCGTCGCTAAGGGAGTTTCCACAATCATGGTTTCTTACTCAAGCTGGAATGGAGTCAAGATGCATGCCAACAGCGAACTCGTCACGATTATCTCAAGAACACCCTCAACTCAGTGTAATGCAGCCTATTAGCATATAATTTAAAAAAAAATAATAATTAAATTTGAATTATTATAATAATGTTGCTTGTTTTTCAGGGTTTTGTAATCTCTGATTGGCAGGGAATTGACAGAATCACCGATCCTCCCCATGCAAACTTTACATACTCAGTTTTGTCAGGAGTCAATGCTGGCATGACATGGTCAGTTTTTTCCTCAAGTTTTAGTTTAAATTGATTTTTCCTGACATTTGAATATTTCAAATTTTTTTTTTTTTTTTTTCCAGTTCATGCTTCCCTTCAACCATTTGAGTCATAGATATTCTTACTGGTCTTATCAACAATAACTTGTCCCCATGAGTCGCATTGATGATGCTGTGGCCAGGATTTTGAGAGTTAAGTTCACCATGGGCCTATTTGAGAATCCTGTGGCCGATCAGAGCTTTGTACCTTCTTGGAAGCCAAGTTAGTTTTGAAATTACTGATAAAAAAACAAAAATTAATGTGTTGTTTCATGTTAATTTATAGATTCTGTTAAATATATATATATTAATAGGCTCATAGAGATTTGGCGAGGGAAGCTGTGAGGAAATCTAGTTCTGTTAAAGAACGGAGAGAATGCAGATGGTCCTCTGTTGCCTCTCCTAAAAAATGCACAGAAAATTTTAGTTTCCGGCACCCATGCTAATAATTTGGGCTATCAATGTGGTGGTTGGACTGTCACTTGGCAAGGACTCGGCGGCAATAACAACTCTGTCGGTATGTTCTTATTCGACAGAATAATATGATTACATTATCTTTGCTGATGGCAATTGCTAAATGGGTTATTGACTCTGATTGAAAGCTTCAGTCAGTCGAAATCTTTTAAAATATCTGAAAATTGTGATATAGAGGGTAATTTATTAATATTCCAATTATAAATCATTTAACTTTGTAAAACACAGGAACCACAATTCTGAATGGTATCACAGCAGCAGTTGAACTTGGAACTGAAGTGGTCTACAGTGAGGATCCTGATATGGATTATGTCAAGTCAGAAAACTTTTCCACGCCATTGTCGTGGTGGAGAGCTTCCCTATGCGGAGACACAAGGTGACAGTACGAACCTGACAATGGCAGAGCCAGGGCCTTACACACTGACAAAGGTGTGTGCTTCAGTTAGGTGTGTTGTTGTGGTGGTATCAGGGCGACCTGTAACAATTGAGCCCTGGATGCACCAAATAGACGCTTTGTTGCAGCATGGCTGCCGGGCACTGAAGGTCAGGGCGTTGCTGATGTTCTGTTTGGAGATTATGGGTTCACTGGGAAGCTCCTCGTACATGGTTCCGGACTACGGATCAGCTTCCATGAATGTTGGTGATCCTAAATATGATCCAATTTCCCATTTGGGTTTGGACACAACTGAGGGTTCACGCCAGTTAGAAATTTTATTTTGTTGGTGATTAGATTGGTCTTAAGGGAATTTAGAGTCTTATCTTTTTTTTTTTTTTTTTTTTTTTTTTTTTTTTGTTTCTTAAACTTTTTTATGTAATGTATTTTTCTAAGAATGAATGCAGGTAATATCAGAATTGTTCTCGGATAACATAACGACACTTGAAGTTCATGCATAATCACTTGCTAACAAATCAAAACATCAACTGAATATGAAGGTATAAAATTCTCCCATCACATAAATTATGTTATCATAATAATTATGAAAGAACAATTTTTTTTAGAGATGAAAAACTGTTTAATAAGTTGGGATAAAAAGTTTTATTTCATGTAATTAATGCTTGTTATGTTTATATACGTACTGTGCCCTCTCATAAGCTCTTGGGAGAATATCGAGTTCAAACGACTCCATACAAGAGAGAACACAAACACCTATCATCTATTGAATGACTGATCCTATTGCGTTTTCATCAACTGCATGGCCCGGTGGTTGATACAAGTCCTATTTTATCAGAAAAATCATTAAGATACAAAAACCAATTAGACTGAAAATGGAAAGGTTGGCCTGAAAATCATTTCTTTTGAGCTGAAAAATTCCATAATGATTATTTGATTGCTAGTACCTATATATAATAAATATTCTCTTCTTTTATTCCGACTTTTTTAATTTTTATCAAGATAAGCATTTCATAAACTTGTGATTCACCATTCTCTTGGGAATGAGGATGTCAAAAGTGAACTGAAACGATTAATCTATAGGACGACTTGATTTGTCCTTGGGGATTTAGGATTTCAGAAATTTCCACACAGAACAAGACGTTAAATGATGCAATTCATTACCGTTCTTTATTGAATTTATCACGGCGCGAATGGTGTCGGTATAGTTGTGAGATACGACGCAGTCTCGGCATCGTTCTTTGCACCGCCGCTTGGATCTATTGCAACACAAACTAGTTTTTTTTTTTTTTCTTTTTTTTAAATAAATCAGCTGCGCCGTTCTGGCATTGGTTTTCATCCTGTATATAAGGACAGCCACTCTTGCGGTTGTGACCCTGTATATAAGGCAAACTTTTGACGAAAAGTAATGCGTGGAAGTACGCGCTTCTAAAAAAATAAGACATTAAAATTTCAAAAAGCCTGAGAATGCTTCTGCTTCCGAACCACCAAAACACATCCATTACTTTCAATCTTCGCTTGAAATTTTCCATGAATTGGAATGGGCATATATACGAACGGTTTGCTTGGTATGAGGAATGGGCATTCCTCCAATTGGAACGGGAGTCCTCAAGGCAGAAAGGGCGTCCAGATTTCCTAAAAATCTCTGAAATTCTGGAAGAGTGAACGGCTTGATGGAACGGTGCCGTTCATGCCTGAAACGACATATCTGGGGAGAGGAACGGACATCCACATAGGAACGGGCGTTCCATGTTTGAGGGAAAAAAAGGGGTGCGATTGTCATTTTATAAATATTAAATCGGGGTCCTAAGTGAAAATATATAAAGCATGGGGGATTAATAAATAACAAATATAGGGGTCGAATTGTAATGAAAATGCTGAGGCGTTAGGGGGTATTATGAGATCTATAAAATTTAAAGGGCCAAAAGAACTGTCCGATAGTAGTTTAGATATTTTCATGAACAGTAATCGATTAAAAGAGTAAGGATCGAGAAGAAGAAAATAACGGGGAGAAGAAAATAAAAAGCGAAGAAAAGAAAGAAGAAAGAATTCTGGAAAGAAAAAGAAAAGAGAGGAAGAAATAAGAAAAAAAAAGGAAGAAGAAGAAGGAAAGAGAGGAGAGAAAGGACGAAACCGAGTAGAAAGAGAAAAGAGCCGAGAGTAGTGATGGTGGTGGCTGAAAGGAGATTGTCGGTGAGCAAATTCCGCTGCTTGAAAAGAGTGAAGAGATTAAGCAAATGGGAGGTGAGTAAACCTTAATATTTCCCTTTGATGATTTATGATTCAATTGTTTGAAGAATTCTTTGGGTTGTTTTGTCTATGATTGGTATAAATGCATGAAAACAAACTGAAATTTGAAGGCTGATTGCAATATTAGGTGGGTGAGCATATATGTTGTTCTTAAACCAAATTTGTTAAAAATACGACCACCACTGAATTTCTGAAACATTTATCTAAACTTGGGTTTCCAGTGAAGCTCAAATCTGGATATTTTGTTTTAGACTTCTTGAGGGAGTGTCAAATATTTATTTCACTCAAGAATTCGAAGTATTGGATTTTTTTGGATTTGACGTCTCTCTGTAAATTCTGGAATTTTCGTTTTCTAAAGAACATGTATTTTTAGTAAATGAGTTATTGATATTATCCAAATTTAATGATTTAAATTAGATGATTCCATTGATGTCTAGTTTAATTCGGAGGCAGGATTTTGAATCCTTCGACTTAAAAGCTGAGCTTCAAAAGTGGTGAGTAGGAAAAATCTAAACCCTAGCTTTTCTTATGAAATGTTTTTTTGTTTTACTTGCCCTAAATATGTTGGTACTAGTCCTTTATAAATATTGGCATTTATTGAAATCAAATGTTGATTTACATGAGAAAGAATGTGTTTTCGATGATTTTGAGCGAATAGTTTGAAAAGATATGAAAATGAGTTGAATTGTTAGTTTTGAGAACTTGCATTTACATCCTTACATTACCCGAGATGTTATGAAATTGTTATATGCTCTTTGAAAAATATGAAATTGTTTATGAAAAGTATATGTTTATGAGAAAGATGGTTTGACAGTATGTATGAGATAGTAGTGGTTTTCCCACCTTGCAAAGTATCCATCCCCCAATTATTGTTTATGGCTCTGTCCGTACGATGATAGATTTTTTTTAGTATTGTGAGATTAAGATACAGATTCAGGTTAAGGCTCTATGCATAACGTATTGAGAGATTTCAGTGCTCTGCCTAAGCGATGTGAATCCCGTTAGGCATGAGAGATTTTTGGTGACTCTGCCCGCACAATGATAGATCTTGCCAAGTATTAAGAGATTTTCCCAACTTTGCCTGTGTGTGGTACGCCTACCAAGTATTGAGGTAGTTCCCTCGGGTACCAGTTATGGTGAGAGATTTCAACATGGTTTATGAGAGATGGTTTAGACATATAAAGATGTGTTTATAGAAACGTGATTTTATCAAAGTATGATTGTTTGTTGCATATTAAATGTTTTCAAAATCAATTTTTAGTATCAGAACAACTAGTAATTTATGTGTATCAGATTATATGAAATAATGAAGATATTTACAACATGTTTATATACATGATTGTTTTCAAAGAACATGAGTTTATTGGGGTTTTTTATTTTTTATTCTTTAATATTTGAATTAATTATTAATTAATATATAAATTAATTATTTCATATAAAATAATAATTCAACGTTTTATTGGTCTAAATTCAAATAAGTGATTTAAATCCAAAGTCTAAGATATATATATATATATTTTTTTTTAAAGACCAAATAACAGTATCTTTTACAAACTCACAAGGACAAATTGGTCATTTCACTAACCTACAACAACATGATGGCATACAAGTAATTTAATGTAAATGATGTGGGTATTTACGTAATTGATTGAGTTGACTTGCCATAAACTAATAAAAAAACTATAATACCAAACTTCCAAGGGCATTCCAGTCTTCTTTAGCATTGTTGTCCTTTAACAGATGGAAATCCTAATAGAACTTGACGGAAAGTGGTTGTTTGTCATTGTAATACCCACATTCAGAAATATGGTAGGGATTATTCTATGGATATAGTGAATATATTTAACTAGTTTTATAGTGGAATTCCATAAAAGTTTTGATAGGAGCAAAATGGTCATTTCATATAGAATCACGTGTTCAAATGAAAAGTGAGTATGATAAATATAATGTATTAAGTGTGCTAGCCATGAGAATAAGTGGTAGAAAGGTTATGGACAATACATGTGATGTGATGCTAAGAAAAATACGTGTTTGTAAAGTAATAGAAAGAAATTAAAGAATAAGGGTAAAATTGTCTTTTTACTCGCAACTAGATGAAAAAGTGGTGAGTGTAAGGAAGCAAATTAATGTGAAGAAGATAATGCAAATGAGGGTAATTAGGTAAATGACTAAAAGACATGGATGAAATTTCTTACAAAGTGTAAGGGCAAAATGAGAATATATATATAAGGTTTCAATTGAAAAAAACATATGTATATATTATTAGTTATAAGGCTTCAATTGACAAAACCCTAGCCATTCTCACCCTTGGGCACGCCACCTCTCATTCATTTTCTCTTAAGCTTCTTCATCAAATTTCAAAGAGATTCATAGGGTTTAGCTTAAATTTTTGTAGGTTTTCAATCTTAAAGCATCCAAAGGTAAGATTCTAGCACAAAAGTGTGTATTTAAGTTTTAAAGTTTTGAATTCTTATGTTTTTACATGATTTAGGTCCAAGAGGAAAAGAATTTTAGCAAAGGAAGGTTGAATCATTAGTGTTGTGCAAATTCAAGGTAAGTAAACCCAATCTATGCTTTAATTTGAGTAGTATATGTGTAAGTTGATTCTTGAGTGTTTAAATATGATGTATGATAAGAAGTATTGGCTGTTTAGATGCTTGTTTGATGGAGAATAATGTGTAGAAGTTCAGCCAAGATGAGTAGTTATGTAGATGTGATGTTTAGGTTGAACTTTGGATGAAATTTTGAAGTGTTGCTGTTGGAATTTGGAAGTGTTGAATCCGGCTAGAATTGAAGTTAAGTTTGGTGAGTTTTTGCTCTAATTTGGTGGATTTGGAGAGATGTGGAAGTGTGACCAACCAAGTATTTGCATGTGTATGTGAATTGTTTGATGAAAATTTAAAGAAAAATGCATGCATGGGTTTGTTAAATCTTGTTGAAGAAATTGTTTGAAAAAGGAAAGAATTGGAGTTGAACGGTTATGTTAGGCTTAACCAAGTGTAAGTTTCAGTATTCAAGATACATTTTGTTATGCCAAAATTTAGAATAACACTTGGTTATGTTAGTTCAATGAAAGGAATGGCTTTTAGTGCATGGTTCAAGTTGCTTGAACTTTTAGCATTAGTTTGAATGGCATATTGTATTTAGTCATTGAATTATGAGTTTTGAAACTTATGACTTCAGAAAAATGATAGCAAGAATTGCATATTAAATTGTTGCAATAGTGTAGTATTGATAATAGTAAAAGATGGATGATTATATTATAATATTGTAATATGCCACCATAAATTGTCAAGTTTGTATGCTTAAAATTAGAAAGATCATTCAAAGAATGGCTTGGCCAAATGAGTATATTGTTATTTCTTGTTTTGAGATTAGTTATAAATAATATGTAATAAGTGATTATATTGTATAAAGAATAGAAAAGTTTTCCCAAGTATAAATATTAAAGAAACATCAAAGAAATAAAAGTTTAGTTTATGTATTAAATGCATGACCATTTTAGAAATTAATTGGTATGAGTATAGTTTTCATGTCTTATTATATATTACAAGCTATAGAATTGTGCTAGAAGATCTTGATAATATGTTGTATTGGCCAAAAGTTTAGTTAAGAAATTAGAATTTAGCCAAAGGATATATGTTGTGCCATATGTTAGATTGGATTTACAAGGATTAATATGACAATATAGATTAATGTATAAAATGTAGCCAAAAGAAAAGAAGAAAGAATGACATGTATAACAATGTTGATGGTCATGTTAAGAGAATAAAAATTTATGGCATATTTGTATTTAGAAAGTTGTACAAGACATGTGTGTTACATTAGAAAATATTAGAGAGTAGAATTTGTGAGAGTTAATGTACTTGTGTACGTGTAAATTTTACATAGGATGATAGAGTTCAAGAATTACAGAATTATGTAGAAATTATATAATCGCGTACATACACAACGATGTATAGAATTCAGAAATAAAGAATAAAATAGAAAATGTTTAATTTAAGCGTGTTAATAGAATAGAACTTTGGGCATTTCCGAAAAGTATAGAAATAAAAGCCTTAGAATTAATAGAATACATGCCAGAGTCAGACACGTATTTTGGGATCATGCATAGACAACATATAAATGCATGACATAACATAGCATATATTTCATAAATTTTATAATTACTAGAAATATCTAGCTAGTTATTTTGCAGATTTATAAAGCATGTTTTCATAGGGCTGTTGCGATGGGGAACTTGTGACCATTCGTTGCGTTAGCTAGTGGTGATAGAGATGCAGAAGTTTCCCACATGCACGGTACCATCAGTGAGCAGCCTCAAAATAGAAAATAGAATTGTATAGTCCGCTAGAAGTGCATGTGGATGAGGATTGTACCTAGAAAAAATTTTAGAATACGCTCACATGGCCAGGGTTCGAAATCTATGCCTCAACCTAGTTTGATAAGCAAACTAGAATAGAATACAGAAAGAATTTCAGATAGAAAGAAAAATAGAATAAGAAATAGAAAACAGAAAGAATTTCATAAAGAAAGAAAAATAGAATAAGAAATAGAACCCACAGAAAAAATCAGAAGAATTAGAAAAGAATTTTTAGAAGAATGCAAACATGATCATTTGCATTTGCATCAGACATTTTATGTGCATTGCATCTCATGCATTTATGCATAGATTAAACAGTTTATTTATTATTGCATGTCTGACTAGCCAAGAAAAGAAAATAAAAACCCATAGGAATAGAGAAGAAAAAGAAATAGAAACCATGAAAATAGAGAAGAAAGAAAATAGAAGCCCACGAAAACGAGAAGAAAAGAAAATAGAAGCCTGCGAGAATAGAAAAGAAATTAGAGATATGCAAGAAAAGAACAGAAATTAGATACATGCTAGAAAAGAATAGAAATTAGACAACAGAATAGCAAGGAAATTAGCGATTTGTTGAGTAGAGAAAGAAACAGAAAGTTATAATCTAGCAGAGAAGAGAAATAAAATAATAAAGAATGGCACAGCCTAGAAAGATTTAGAAAGATTTGAGAAAAATGGAAGATGTGTAAGTAGTACGCCTGAGAATAAAAGAGAGAAAACAAGAGAATTTGAAGCAGTACAACGAAAACAGGGATAGTGAAGTAAGATCATAGTTAGATTGGTTTACTTACGAGCATTTATAGCTACACTTGTTTGCTTCCCTATTTTGCAGTATTAGATTATAGTGGTTGGAGACGTCAAGCTGGCGAGAGGATTGCACACACTGTCTCATTGAAGAATTTAATGTGGATTTATATATGTGAGAAATAGTCATTGTATAATAGTATGTTAAACTGGATTAAGGTAAAAATTTTAAACGAACATTTTTTTTTTGTTAAACTAGCAATTCTTTGGATTCTCTCTAGATACTTAGTGAATACTTGTCTAGTGAGACATTACAATCATTTTTCAAACCTTTTAAATGCCAAATTGTTTTACAGCAAACTATGGGTGGGTGGCATGTCATTCTCTCTCTCTAAAAACTCATTACGAAAGGAACACGCATGTTGAAGGTTTGTATAATTAAACCGATACACTTGATTGAGACTTAATATTTATTCTACTTTTGACCGACTTCTTGAATTGAGCATCGCAGTGACTATGCCAGCAATACCACCATTGCCAGGTTTACTCCTTTAGGAGGTATGAATTCTATATCTATGAAATAATATTCTCATTGCACATAGATGTTACTCTTTCAACTAGCGCAACATTAATCATATATTACAATAATATTACCCTCCATCTTATCAAAAAGAATAACTTACATACATTAGTTACACTACTCACTAAGGATTAAGGTAGCACGTCCTTAATTGATTTGTGAAATAATTTACTACCAGTATCACAGTAAATATATAATAATGACACTCTCATGTTCAATGCATAGGTGTATGTTAGGATCAAACATTTACCATCGGACTAAAAGCTTAAGCTATTAGCTATGATGCAATTTTATTTTCATATTATTCATCAATGGGAACGCAAAGCCCCACAAATAAAGGTGAGTGATATGATGTAAGACTTGATATGACCACATGTCACAATTATAGTAGTTTAAGTGGTTTAACGGAGTTATTAATTGTCTCTTTGATATTATAGGAGATTAAAGGCAGTTGATGGAAGTTAATTGGTCTTTAGCCTAACCATATATAAAGATATCATCTTTTCATTAAAGAGTCACAAAAAATACAAAAAAAGGTTCTAGAGGCATAGGCTATAAGACATCTTTTAAACACTCATTCACAAATCATTCATGTTTAGCTTTCTATAAACTTGAACATAAGGCTGGAGGTAAGTAATTAAATTCCGCATTATATTACATACGTAATATTCCACATATGGGGATTCAATGCGTATGTAAGCACATCAATGGGTTAGGCGATTAAGCAGGCCCCCATAGTGCGAGTATAAGGGAAATTATTGGCGGCCCCCATAAAACGAACAATATGTTTGCGCAAATTTAGCACCTTCATGATATTGAGGCTCTCACTCTCAAATGAAACCAACAACACAACTGAAGACCTGTCTCCCTAAATGAAAAACTTTATATAAATAATTGTTTATTCAAAACCTTGGATATTTGATCAGTAAGTAATTAAAAAACTTTAATTAATCAGTATTGTAATAGAATACTAGCAATTTTATCATTTATTACAGAAAGAGTAGTGTGATGTGGTGGGGCAAAGGAGTTCTTCGTTGTTTGATATGAATTTTATTGATTCATTCATGATAGTGCTTGTGGTAGTTCTGGTGTTGGTGAGTATGATGGTTGTGATGGTGGGAGAGGATGCTAGACTCTGGGGTGGAAGGATTCATTAAAAACAACAAGGATAATTAGGTATTAATTTTAACTTTGACTCATGAACAATACCTAGTTTCTGTCTTAAGGATGTGTCATAATATACGTATCACTGTTATCACACACCATTGTGAAATTCTGTAAATTTCCAACAATAGTATTTCTACTATAATGAAAAATTGTTTAACTTTATCCTTTTTCAGTCAATTTTGGTAACTGGCAGTGAAACAAAGGAAAATTTAAATATTTTTCTTAACCTTTTGATTTAGCATATCATATTTTATCATAATAAAGATAACCGTTGCAGATTTAGACCCTCGATTAAATCATTAATAGGAGTTTGAGATACAATGTATTGTGCATGTGTAGAAATCAAGTTCTTTCTAGATTTCGATTATGGATTTGGTAATAATTCTAGAATGTTGACTATTCATTTTGTAATAACCATATTAAATCATGATATATTCGGAATAATTGAGATGAACAGCATTTTATTACTCAACACTTGTATAATTTACCATTAATTTTAAATATATAATCACGCAACATGATTTCCTTCCATAATGAAAATAGAATAGTCAAGTACAACATGGATCTCTTTCACATACCTTTTCGAATTCATATTTATATCGAAAGTTAACAATCGAATCTAAATTTTCCCATTAAAGCAATATTATTTTCTGGTTGGTTGCAAAACTATCAAACTCAACAATTGAAAAAGGTTTAATAAAAAAATCCCCTGCGGGATAATTAAGTAACAAAAATCTCCTTGTAATCAGAGAAATAAGAAATCTCCCTACCCTAAATTTTTTGGTGTTAAATAAAGGATAAAGGGTTAATTAAGTATATATTCACTAACCCATGACGTCATAAATTTTTAACGCTAACTAACAATAAGAAGATTTTTATTATTTGTAAAATCTCAAAAGGCCAGACTTGTAATTTGAATAGACTGCATGGGGGTCGAGATCAATGTCTTTATTATTTGCTTTCCAATTGGAAATATGCAATCTTCTAATCATTAATACTCAAGTACAATCCCTGTGATGATGTCTTACATTAATTTTTACGTTTTAAATTTGAAAACCTTTGTGAGTTGTGATTTCATAATTTCCTTCCATAATTGAAAATCCAATACTCAATAAATAAATCTCTTTCATGTACCTCTTCCAAACTCAAATCTTGATGCCATGGCAACCCTAATTTCTAAGAAACCATCCCCTTCAGAGATCTCCATCAACTCAGCTTCTTCTCATGAAAAAGATCACCTGAACCAAACCAACCCAAATCAGATTTGATCTTTTGTTTATCAAAAGGCTAATGCTAAAGATGATTCAATTAGTGGATCTGAAGTCGAACTAAAACTCTTTAGCGTTGGGTCTTCATTTCAAGCCAACGAGTTGTTATCAACCATACGTAACAAAAAGCAAACAAAACAAAGAGGCTTCTCGTGCAACTTTTGCAACAAAAACTTTCCACATCACAGGCCTTGGGGGGACATCAAAATGCACATAAACAAGAGCGGTGCAATAGCGAAACGACGTAAGGAGATGGACATGGGTGCTTTAGGGCATCATCATCATTTCTCTTATTATCCTTTTTAACTTTAAACCATCAAGTTCCTCTTTATGGATCCTATAATAGATCATCTCTGGGGGTGTGTGCAGTCTCCGAGGATTCGAAGGCCAGCGGCGGCGGTTTTTCCATGGGTCCCACTCCGGGACGATTTGGCAAGGACAAGTCTGATGAATTCAAGGCTAGATACGAAAAATCGCAGGCAGCAGGGTTTGATGCAGGCTCAAAAGGGTTCAAGCATTGCGGCGAATAAACCTCCCACTAGTGGTGACTCTCGAAGGGAGAGAGTCCATTACAAAGTGATCATAAGGACGATCATTCATCAAAACTGATTTATCTCTCAAGCTTTAGATAATTTTTTTTTTTTTGTTAAAAGTATATATTTGATTGTTATTCTTAGGACTTGCTTTCTTTGATTTACAACTTTGTGGGGGTTCAAGCATTATGGAAAGGAAAAAAAAAGCCTCTCTCATAAAAGGTAACTATGCAAGGGAAACTATTTGTTATTACTAAATAATGATAGTCAGGTTATCATTGATGAGGACTTGATTTGTCTCTTAAGCTTTAGATAATCGTTGTTATTTTAGATTATTACAAGTATTTTAATTTAATTTTAAATTTATCTTCTGTTTTAGTTTTATAATTAATTAACCATCATTTCCTGGCATTTGGTGCATGTGATTTTAATTGGTCCTAATGCAGAAAAAAAAGAACAAAATGTCACAACCGCACTAATTATACTAATTTTGATTAGACTTCAATATTTCGTTTCAATTAATTTTAGAACTAGTTATACCAATTTGACTAGACTCGAATATTCATTTTAATACTTCTTTCTTTATGAGGTTTGGGTATCGATCCTTCTTTAAACTAGAAGTATAATAAATATCAGCCATGCCAATAAACATCAGCAGCCAGGAGAATTACAACAGTAAAGAGCAAATTGGACTAAAGTTAAGCAGCAAAAGTAATAAACATTAAGAAATATTCTTTTAACATTTTTATTTAATATATTTTTCATAAACATTCTAGCAGCATATATGTAATTTGTCATCAATTAATCTTTCTATATCTAGGTATACAATAAGATCAACTTCAATTATATTAATATGAAAATCTGTTCAATACATATTTAATTCAAATTTCAGTAGTAATAATGAAATATCAAAAAAATTAAAAATTAAATAAAAGGTAACTAAAGAACTTAAATTTAATATAAAGGCAGTTTATAGATTGAAACTTAAATAATAAAATGAAATTAAAAATTCATTTTGACAAAGAAATAGAGGGAAGGATATTTCAAAAATATAAATTATGTATTTGGTAATGTTTTATCAAATTAAAAAAAATAATAAATTTGGTGTTATACAATAAAAAAAATTCAAAACGCTATCTCGCCAGTGCAGCAATGCAAAAAATACTTGTACATTATCTTTCATTTCATATATATTCTAAAAGATAACATCAAATAGTCATAAATAAAGGTAAAAATAATTACAGTGCTTTTAATTAAGAAGATACGAATAGTCCAATGATTTGTTTATCTGTCAAAAGGAACAATTGTTATAACCCCCCAGTTTTATCGATTTTATGATGCTACCATACATATGAAAATAGGAGGAGGATAGCCTATTGTTAATATTTTCTACACAATTTTTGTCAAGTATTAAATTAATTTTTTTACTTGGCTAAATATAAGGGTTACCCACGTGGTGCAAATATATAAAATTCCGTTTCACTCAAGGCCGCAACAACATTTTTTGTATGAGTAAAAATCAATTAGCCCCATATAGTTTGGGAAATGTTGGGTAACTATTACCATTTTAATCAATTCTCCCCAATCATTTAAGAAATTAATCAGTTACCCCCTAAATCCTAAGACCATCTCCAACCCATTGCACCAAATTGGTGCAACTTTCACACCAAATGGTGTGATTTTTGGTGTAAAACATATTACATCTCCAATCCATTGCATCAAATATTACACTAAAAGGAATTCTTTAGAATATTCTCTTCTTTTTCTTTATTGTAATAACCAACAATTAATTTATTTCACTCATTATATATATATATATATATATATATATATATATATATATATATATATATTAGAGGTGGGCAGGGATCGATCCCAGCAGGCCAGGCCTAGGCCCGTTTGGGACTAGTACCAAATGGGACCAGTCACTCATGGGCCTAGGACCGGTCCCAGGCCCATGAGAAAATAGAACCCGGACTAGGCCTTAGCCTGGTAGGGACTGGTTATGGGCCTAAGACGGTCTATGGGCCTAGGACCGGTCCTATGGGCCTAGGACCGGTCTAGGGACAATCAT